TTTTTAATAATAATCATAATTTAGTCTTAATAATAATCATAATTTAATTTTAATAATAATAATCATAATTTAATTTTAATAATAATCATAAAGTACTTTTAATAATAATCATAATTTAGTCTTAATGATAATCATAATTTAATTTTAATAATAATTATGATTATTATTAAAATCTTGACACCGAAATAGACAGAATGAAAATTGCATACGTACGTGTGCTCGGACGTACGAATGTATAACTGCGCCCACCCCAATATGTGTATGTATGAACTAACATGAATACGCCTGTATGAATGTGTGTCTATGTATATGTGAGTGTCATGGCAAACAAAAACAGAAGAAAATTTGTCCCCTCCTACCACCACACACAAATTATCAAACACAAATAAAACATAAATAGATCGACTTTTGTGTGTGGTGTAGTAGGGGAAAAATTTTCTATTGTTTTTGTTTGCCACGACACTCACATATACATAGACACACATACATACAGGCGTATTCATGTTAGTTCATACATACACATATTGGGGTGGGCGCAGTTATACATTCGTACGTCCGAGCACACGTACGTAGGCAATTTTCATTCTGTCTATTTCGGTGTCAAGATTGTAGCGTCATATATGTAGCAAAGTTCTCTTGGTAGGGGACAGATGGGGACGGCTTTTAACTAATGCCTTTATATAATCTGGGAGTAGATTGTCCAGTATTCTTTGTCATAAAGGATGACTGATATTACGTAAAAGTCAATAGTCTTTTCTTTGTTTTTAAGGAGATTTTACCCAACCCGCACTGCTCTTGTCCTATTTCCGATTTAATATAACAAGTTAGAAAATCTATTTCCTAACATACTTATTTTCTCCTCTAATATTACTTTCTTCATTATGTGTTTATTCATTTTTTATAGCCTTGGTATATTTTTTATAGCCTTTCTTTCTTTCTTTCTTTCTTATTCTGTCATCTTTCTTTCACATTGTGGCCCCTTTCTTCCTGATTCTGGCCTCCTCCTTTCTTTCTTTTTTTCTTATTCTGACCTCTTTCTTTCTTTCTTTCTTTTTTTCTTTCTTTCTTCCTTTCTTTTGGTACTATCTATCTATCTTTTTTTCTTTCTTTCTTATTTTTTTCCTCCTTGTTTTTTATACATCGGTTTGCATTCTTTCTCAATTTCCCTGTCTTCTTTTCCTTTCTCTCTCTTTCCCTCTCACTTTATCTTTATCTCGTTTTATAACTTATTGCCTGTAACGGTTTACCTTCTTTTTTTCATTTATCTATATTTCTTTCTACATCTTCATATTTTCAATTTTTTTTTTCACTCTTTCTTTTAGACTTGGATTCTTTTTCTTTATTTCTTTTTTATACTAGTCTATGTCTTTCTTTCTTATTCTAGCCTATACCGGCAGACATGCTCACATGTACTCTCACATACACACATATGTAGAGGAACTGCCACACTTTATGAATCTCCTATATATATTTTTTTATAGTTGATAAGCAAATGGCTTCTTTAAGAAACTAGCAAATAATTTAAACATATAGAATTATTTGGTAAATTAATATGGAACTATTAAGTAAAGATCATTCATATAAGATCTTTAGAACACCAACCATTCATTAAGTTAACGCATTCTGCGCAGCTGGTCACCACTCTTCCGCATCTCACAATTGTGGGTCATGCTGACATTCGAAATTAGAATAGTGCAATAGCCTGCCGGTTTCTTTTATACCGGACATATTGAAGCTATCCCGTCCCTCCTCTTAAAAGTTAAAGAGTCAAGACCCACAAGGTAACAGGTGGTTTAAATTTTCCTTCTTATAGACTGTCGATGCTATATGGAGGCCGTACGCTTCCCAGTCTATATGTACCCGTCTCTCAGCTGTACCGACAAGAATCAAAGAAAAATAGGGCATTACATTGTATCTATTAAAGCTGATAATTTTACCGTTGCTTGAAATCTGTATATTTATACCTTTTGGAGATAACTTTATTTTCTCAAGCAAACATGATATTCGAAATATTATATCATCGAGTAATTATGATACCAGATATCTGCAACATTGACAAGTTTCAAGTCTTTAAGATTTTTCTAAAGAGAAAAAAAGCAATAACTCTATAACAGGCGATTCGCAAGCAAATAAACAAGTTTCTATGAGAGAAGCCTTTTTATTCTTAATTTAATATCAGTGTCTTTATTCAGACATATCTTGTTTTCGAATAGATATATGATTTGATAGAATTCAATGCTCGTTATTGATCCACTTCCGGTAGTGTAGTAGTTATATTCTTTCGTCAAGAGATTCGGACTGATAAGAATATTGAACCCTATTAATTATAGATTATAAATATTGAACCCTATTAATTATAGATTATAAATATTGAACCCTATTAATTATAGATTTTGGACAGTTTGAGATACTAACCAGCATAAAAGTATTCAAAACCTCATAAGCATTTATTAAATTTGCATAGGACTTCCATTAATACTATTAATGAATTCTTTTTCAGACTTAAGAAAGACAATAAAATAATGATGCATACACAATGATAAACAAAAAAAAAAATAGTATGAAAAAATATTAAATTTTTGTCCTATATATTTATTTTGGATAATATATGACAACGATTTACATATGTCTATCCAGTTTTACAATCAGTTAAGTGCCATAAGTTATACACGCTTGGGCGATCATGTCTCCTTCGATTCATATATTCCCGCAGTAGGTTGCCGTTTCTTCCTACGGTAGACTGTTTATCAACCTAAGCTATAGAGCTCAATCTGTCTTGCTATTAAATTATAGTTTTTGGAAGAGGATTGAAATATATATGATTAAATTAGGATTAAAAATCAAAATAAAATTACTGTTTGACTCACTAGTCCAATGATGACCCAAGAATGAAATATATATGATTAGAAATGATTAAATTAGAATTAAAAATCAAAATAATGTTAAAATATAGAATGTTCCTGTTTGACACACTAGTCTCCTGATGAGCCCAGAATGAAATATATCTGATTAGAAATTATTAAATTAAGATTACAAATCAAAATAATATTAAAATATACAAAAGGCCTCCTTTTTGATAGGCTAGTCCTCTGATGACCCCAGAATTAAATATATATGATTAGAAATGATTAAATTAGGATTACATATCAAAATAATGTTAAAATATAGAATATTCCAGTTTGACACTCTAGTCCCTGATGACCCAAGAATTTGATATATATGATTATAAATGATTAAATTAGGATTACAAATCAAAATAGTGTTAAAATATACAATATTCCTGTTTGACACACAAGTCCCCTGATGACCCCAGAATGAAATATATATGATTATTAATGATTAAATTAGGATTACAATCTAAATAATGTTACAACATAAAATATTACTGTTTGACACACTAGTCCCCTGATGACTCCAGAATGAAATGTATATGATATAATATGGACTACAATGTTAATAATGTTAAAATATACAATATTCGTGTTTGACACACTAGTCCCCAGATGACTCCAGAATGAAATGTATATGATATAATATGGACTACAATGTTAATAATGTTAAAATATACAATATTCGTGTTTGACACACTAGGTCCCTTATGACCGCAAAATATACTTTTGCCAATGGTATTTGTGTGTAAGTGAACGTAACCTGGAATAAGAACACGTATCTCTGATTACAGTTTCCAGGCCGATATGCAGTACATCACAACGCCCATCCAATTTTACAATACTTTGTCCTGTGCTTCTTTCAAAGAAGACAGTAGATTGTAAAGTATTGTTTATTTATTTTACTTATTAATTTTTATAGATGGAAGGTAATCGAACTTTATTGGCATTAATGTATTCATCAGCAGAAGAAACCTGGGACTTTGTGGACATATCTACAAGGTGGATAATTCATGGCTGGTAAAGATAGCTGTCCTCGGAATGGCAACAACATAAAAGGCAGGTCAAGATTCGATGGATAAACAACATTATTCATTGGTGCAACATGGGAAATAGCTAAGCTACCAACGATAAAGAAAAATGAATAAAGATTATCTCGAATATTATTGACACTAACAATGATTGAATTAAATGATGAACATATGAAAAGGCACTAATTTATTTTGGAAAGTATCTTAAGATTTGCCGTAACAAAATTCCAATATTTTTCATAGGCTTAATGTAATGAAGTCTTTAATCCTGATTATTTAAGTGAAATCGTATATGCTTAGTATTATTCTCTCATATTGAAATATAAAAAAAACTTTGTTCATGTAGTATGGCGAAGATTTCTCTAAAAGTTAATCAATAATTTATTAATAGTAATCGAAGATTTGAAAAGATCTCGACGAATAAGTAAAAGAGAGCTTGCAATATTGTGTGAGAAACCTGGAGGGAGAGAGAGAAATATATATGCGTGAAAGAAAGAAAGAAAGAAAGAAAGAAAGAAAGAAAGAAAGAAAGAAAGAAAGTGGTCAGAATAAGAAAGGGTGCAAGAATAAGAAAGAAAGAGAAAAAGAAAAAGGGAAAAGAAAGAAAGAAAGAAAGATGTCAGAATAAGAAAGAAAAAAATCAAAAAAGAAAGAAAGAAGGAAGCCAGATTAAGAAAGAAGGAGGCCAGGGAAAGAAAGAAAGAAAGAAAGAAAGAAAGAAAGAAAGAAAGAAAGAAAGATGTCAGAATAAGAAAAAAAGAAAGAAGGAAAAAAAGAAAGAAAGAAAAAAGAAAAAAAAGGAGGAGGCCAGAATCAGGAAGAAAGAAAGAAAGAAAGAAAGAAAGAAATAAATAAATAAAGAAAGAAAGAAAGAAAGAAAGATGTCAGAATAAGAAAAAAAGAAAGAAGGAAAAAAAGAAAGAAAGAAAAAAGAAAAAAAGAGGAGGCCAGAATCAGGAAGAAGGAAAAAAAGAAAGAAAGAAAGAAAGAAAGAAAGAAAGAAAGAAAGAAAGATGTCAAAATAAGAAAGAAAGATCGAAGAAAGGAAGAAAGAAAGATATCAGAATAAGAAAGAAAGAGGTCAGAATAAGAAAGAAAGAAAGAAAGAAAGAAAGAAAGATGTTAGAATAAGAAAGAAAAGGTCAGAATAAGGAAGGAAGGAAGCCAGAATAAGCAAGAAAGGGGCCACAATATGAAAGAAAGATGACAGAAAAAGAAAGAAGGAAAAAAAGAAAGAAAGAAAAAAGAAAAAAAGGAGGAGGCCAGAATCAGGAAGAAGGAGGCCTAAAGAAAGAAAAGGTCAGAATAAGGAAGGAAGGAAGGAAGCCAGAATAAGCAAGAAAGGGGTCACAATATGAAAGAAAGATGACAGAATAAGAAAGAAACAAAGAAACAAAGATGCCAGAATAAGAAAAAAGAAAGAAGGAAAAAGAAAGAAAGAAAAAAGAAAAAAGGAGGAGGCCAGAATAAGGAAGAAGGAGGCCTAAATAAGAAAGAAAGAAAGAAAGAAAGAAAGAAAGAAAGAAAGAAAGAAAGAAAGAGGCCAGAATAAGAAAGAAAGTAAGAGTTCAGGATAAAAAAGGAATGAAAAAGAATGAAAGATTCCAGAATAAGAAAGATTTGAAAAAGAATGAGGCCAGAATAAAAAAGAATAAAAATTAAAAGACAGAATAAGAGAGAAAGCGGTCATAATAAGAAAGAAAAAAGAAAGAAATTAAATAGGCTAGAATAAGAAAGAAAGACATAGACTAGTATAAAAAAAGAAATAAAGAAAAAGAATCCAAGTCTAAAAGAAAGAGTGAAAAAAAAAATTGAAAATATGAAGATGTAGAAAGAAATATAGATAAATGAAAAAAAGAAGGTAAACCGTTACAGGCAATAAGTTATAAAACGAGATAAAGATAAAAAGAGAGGGAAAGAGAGAGAAAGGAAAAGAAGACAGGGAAATTGAGAAAGAAGGCAAACCGATGTATAAAAAACAAGGAGGAAAAAAATAAGAAAGAAAGAAAAAAAGATAGATAGATAGATAGTACCAAAGGAAAGAAAGAAAGAAAAAAAGAAAGAAAGAAAGAGGTTAGAATAAGAAAAAAAGAAAGAAGGGAAAAAAGCAAGAAAGAAAAAAGAAAAAAGGAGGAGGCCAGAATTAGGAAGAAAGGGGCCACAATGTGAAAGAAAGATGACAGAATAAGAAGTCAAAGAAAGAAAGAAAGAAAGAAAGAAAGAAAGAAAGAAAGAAAGAAAGAAAGGCTATAAAAAATATACCAAGGCTATAAAAAATGAATAAACACATAATGAAGAAAGTAATATTAGAGGAGAAAATAAGTATGTTAGGAAATAGATTTTCTAACTTGGTATATTAAATCGGAAATAGGACAATAGCAGTGCGGGTTGGGTAAAATCTCCTTGAAAACAAAGAAAAGACTATTGACTTTTACGTAATATCAGTCATCCTTTATGACAAAGAATACTGGACAATCTACTCCCAGATGGAGAAGAGTCTTCATGTAACAGAAATGTGCTTTTACAGAATGATGCTGAGAATACCATGGGTCGAACATGTGAGTAACGAGGAAGTTTTAAACAAAATGGTAACCCAAAGAATACTTATACTTAACATCAGTAAGAAACAGTTGACATTTCTAGGTCACATAATGAGGAAAGAGTGCTTGGAAAATTTGATACTCACAGGAAAGATTGTAATCAAAAGGGACAGAGGAAAACAATGCATAACCCACCTAGAGAGCATAAGTAAAAGTGGAACAATGTTTACGAGAGATGACAAAAAGACTAAATGTATTAAGAGTTACAAAGGACATGAAATTTAATTCATATCCAAGAATTTAATTTCTTCTTTGCTGATAGCATACTTTATGATGATGATGTTGATGATTAAATTCGGCGCCAACGAGCCGGCTCAGCTTCCATTTTCACTAAAACCTGCTTCCGTTTGGCTTTGCAAGTGTTGGTTGAAGGTGAATGAAAATCAGAGTAGAAGAAAGTGCCGATGGCATGAATTTGTTTAAGGTGGAGTGACCCACACATTTGATTTCATTACTTTCCTCTGTGGCACAAATGTAATGAGACATGCAGAATCCAGTTATAAAACTGCAACGGACTGCAGCTGATGCTGTTATAATGTCAAGTGGCGCCTTCTGTAGCATGTCCGTCATGCGTAGCCCTTTTCATACCCTAGTTCACCCGTTGCAATTGTTATCCGCTTGTTCCACCGCTAGGATCTCTGGGGTTGGTTGCGCGTAGTCTGCACAATAGATGTTAATAGTACCATATAAGGATTTGCCCAAATACATTAATCAATATAAGTACTGACATCAAGAGAAGAAACGCCTGAATGCGATAATGGACGAATCAATGTTAACAATTAGAGATTATGTTTCTAAGCATGACTATATTGGAGATCACATTAGGCAGTAATTGAAGAATTATACTTACTGACTTACACTATTAATGTCAATAATGTAGATATTAAAAATGAAACCTAAGGCTCAGTGGAATTATGATTATTTTTATACTAAATGACTATATTAAAATTATAATACAGGAAATTGATGTCGTTTTGTGTCGGCATAAATTTCAAAATGCATGAAAATATTACTTGACATGGTTTTTTTATCCTTCTTATTAACTAATTAATTTATTTCATTAATTAGTTCTTTTTATAAGATATATACAGTCGTGTTTTATGATCCTATGTTCACAAATTAAAATCAGTCAGTTATGTGCCATTCTTAGGCGATCATGTATCTTTCGATACATGACTGACGAGGCAGATTTTTTCACATAGTAGGTTGCCATTTCTTTCTGCAGTAGACCAGTTGCCATCCAAGGCTATAGAACCCGATCTGTCCTGCTATTTACCCATAGCTGGTGTGAAGAAGAAGAGGGTTCATATCTTTCCCAAGGGTATTAGCACGTCAGTCAGTCAGTTATGTGCCATGCGTGATACACGTTGGGGCACATAACTGACTGACAATTTTGATACATAACTGACGAGGCAGATTTTTTTTTCCCGCAGAAGTTTGTCATTTCTTTCTGCGATAGACCAGTTGCAATCCAAGGCTATAGAACCCGGTCTGTCTAGATATTTACCAATAGCTGGTGCGGAGAAGAATATGATTCATACCTTTCCCCAGGATATTAGCACGTTTACCCATAGCCGGTGTGGGTGGGTTGGGGGATCTAGAAAAGTATCCAAACCATTCTTAAGGGTATTAGCACGTAAGTGATTGCAATGGATTCGACTAGAATTCGAACTCGGCTCTCCGATTCCTCAATTCGAGCCGCTATCCATTACTCCAAACGAAATCACAAAAATAAATAACCCAGCTTGCAATATGACAGTCCTTATGATGAATGAAGATTACTTATGATAGTTGAAATGATGAGGAACGAACGAACGAACGAACGAACGAACGAAAGAAAGAAAGAAAGAAAGAAAGAAAGAAAGAAAGAAATTCAAGTGATACAGAAGACATTAACATATGAAGGTTAGCATGAATTACCAAAGACTTTTGGATAGAATGATTATTATAATGAAAAGAAAGAAAGAAAGAAAGAAAGAAAGAAAGAAAGAAAGAAAGAAAGATATTCAAGTGATACAGAAGACTATAACATATGAAGGTTAGCATGAATTACCAAAGACTTTTGGACAGAATGATTATTATAATGAAAACAAAGAAAGAAAGAAACGAAAGTGTAAATAAATAAATAAATATTAAGTGTAATAAAGAAAAATAACGGAATAAGAAGCTAAAAGTAAATATGACACGGTAATAATGTTTCATCCTAATTTTGAAAAGAATAATGGTTCCAAAAGCCTGTAATGATTCTGGCGGTTAGGGCGTCTCCTGAATGGACTGTTGGTATCGAAGCGTATGATGTTGATGGCAGTGTTTACAATAATAATACTGTAGATGCACTTGCTGTGTTTGTATTAATGATAATATTCTCAGATGGTAGGGGTAAGCTGGACCGTGTTAATAATGGTGGGTTTGACCACTGCAGGGAATGATATTTTAAGTGAAATTGATGGTTTGGGCTAAAGGTTTGGTGTGGTGAATGCTGTCAATACTATACTGTTGATTTTAGTACACGGTCTTTTGGTTGCAATACACGAAGACAACATGCATTGACAACTGTCCCTTGTTAGCAATGCTGGTGGTACAGATGACACATGACAATTTGCGACGATTTAATAGGTGACGCTGCAAGATTAACAAGGTTCAAGAGACGAAAGAAACGAAATTAAAAAAATTATTAAAAAGAATGAATAAAGGCATAAGAAAACAAGAAAGAAACAAGGAATACAGAAAATAAACAAAATGAGAAATTAGTTAAAAGGAACCATAAATTAAAGGAGAAGAAATTAAGAGGAAAAAAACCGGCTTGAAAGAAAGTAAATGGATCAATGAATTAATGAAGAAAATCTGAGTTTAAAGGAGCGAAAATGAATCATGAATTAATGAAGAAAAACTGATTTTACAAGAGTGAAAATGAACGATGAATTAGGAAAGAAAATTTGGGATTAAAGGAGCGAAAATGAATCATGAATTAGGGAAGTATAACTGCGTCTAAAGGAGCGGAAATGAATCATGAATTAATGAAGAAAACTGAGTTTAAAGGAATGAAAATGAACCATGAATTAATGAAGAAAGACTGAGTTTAAAGGAATGAAAATGAACCATGAATTAATGAAGAAAGACTGAGTTTAAAGGAATGAAAATGAACCATGAATTAATGAAGAAAGACTGAGTTTAAAGGAATGAAAATGAACCATGAATTAATGAAGAAAGACTGAGTTTAAAGGAATGAAAATGAACCATGAATTAATGAAGAAAGACTGAGTTTAAAGGAATGAAAATGAACCATGAATTAATGAAGAAAGACTGAGTTTAAAGGAATGAAAATGAACCATGAATTAATGAAGAAAGACTGAGTTTAAAGGAATGAAAAAACAAACAGGATTTATGAAGAAAAACTGAGTTTAAAGGAATGAAAATGAACCATAAATTAGGGAATAAAAACTGAGTGCAAAGGAGTGAAAATGAATCATGAATTAGAGAAAGAAGTTTAATTTTAAAAGCGTGACAAGGGATAATGAATTAAAGAAAAATTGAGTTAAAAAGAAAGAAAAGAGACGTAACAGAGAAATAAGATTAGGAAAGGTGTAAGAAAATGATGTTAAAAAGTAACAGAATAGAAGGATTATATAAAAAATAAGAAGGAAACGGCAAACAAAACCCGATAGATAAATTCACCATTAAAATTAAATGAAATGAGACTGAAAATCGGGGTGGATGAAAATTAAGTAAAATGTTTGAATGAAGTAAAAGATGGCGATTTAAAATGAGCTGAAACAAGTGACAGAATCACGCTCTTCTGGATGACCGGTCTGGTGATCGAGTAGTTAGGGGTGGTTGTAGGATGGATAGGTTGGAGTTGCTGGCACATAACTGGAGTTTGTGCCAGTGAATAGGCTGCTGTAAAGGATGGGAATGGTGGTGACACAGCCGAATGCTGAGTGGTTGACTGGTAGATTGTTTGTCATCTTAGTCTCCTGGTTGGTTGATAGCTGCGAAACAAAGAAAGAAGAGAGAAGTAAAAATTAATGTTATTGCCATTCGCTAAATTTTTATGAATATTTATGCTTTTTTTCAGTCATTTTCCTTGTTCGACTTTCTTTCGTTCATCTTTCCATTCTTTCTGTTTTCTTTTTTCTTTCTCTTTTTTACTCTCTATCTCTATTTTTCTCTTTTTACACTCTCTCTCTATTTTTCTCTTTTTTACACACTCTCTCTATTTTTCTCTTTTTTATACACTCTCTCTATTTTTCTCCTTTTTTCACTCTCTATATTTACTCTTTTTTACACACCCTTTCTATTTTTCTCTTTTTTATTGCCTATCTCTATCATTTTCGTCTCCCTCTGATTTATAATCTATATCTACTACTTTCTTTCACTTTTTTACTCCCTATCTCTATTTTACTCTTTTTTACACACTCTCTCTATTTTTCTCTTTTTTACACTCTCTATATTTTCTCTTTTTTACACACCCTTTCTATTTTTCTATTTTTTATTGCCTATCTCTATTATTTTCCATTCCCTCTTATTTATAATCTATATCTATTATTTTCTTTCACTTTTTACTCTCTATCTCTATTTTTCTCTTTTTTACACACACTCTCTCTCTCTCTCGCTCTACTTTTTCTTTTTTTTATCTTTTTCTCATTTTTTATTGTCTATCTCTATTATTTTCCCCTCTCTCTTATTTATGTTCTTTACCTGGTACTTTCTTTCTTTTTTTTCACTCTCTATCTTTATTTTCCCCCTTTTTTACTCTCTGTCGCTATTTTTCTCTTTTTTTACTCTGTCTATATATTTCTTTTTTTTGCCTCTCACTTTTATTCTCTTCCTTTTACTTACAGTCTATTTCTCTCATTGTCTTTCTATTTACTCTATATCCCTCTTTTTTCCATTTCTATCAATTACTCTTTTTAATTCTCTATTATTTTTTTCCTTTTATTATATTCCATTCTTTTTTTCATCCTTTGTCTCTTTCTTCTCTGCATAATCGCATACAAAATGCATTTCTATGTATCTTAAACATAAAGCAATAGTTATAAATATTATACAAGAATATGTAACATTCATATACACACATATATAAATACACACATTTTTATATAGTATATATTCCTAATATTTATATATAATATTAACCAGTGTGTATTTTACTTCATTTAAGTCATTTTCCTTATTCGACTTTCTTTTTTTCATCTTTACACTCTTTCTGTTTTTTTCTTTCTTTTTTCTTTTTTCTTTCTGTTTTTTTCTTTCACACTCTCTTAAAATCTCTCTTGATATTTTCTCTCATTTTTAATCCACCTTTCGATTTAAATTTATTTCTATGATTAGTCACTCTTACACTTTAAAATTGTCTCTTTTTTTAGTATCTCTTTATTTTCTATTTTGTTTTACACTATATCATTCAAATCCTCTCTCTTAATAATCTGTCTTTTTTTACTCTTTTTTATATTCTATATCTATCTAAATTCATATCGTTCTTACCCTGTTGTTTTTTAATTTTCTTTCTCTTTTTTATAATTTATCTCTTTCTTTTTTTTACTTTATATCTCTCTAACATTTTTTGTCTGTTTTACTCTTTCTATTTTATTTACAATCTTTCTTTCATTTTTTATTCTCTATCTATTTTTCTTTTTTACTCTCTCTCTCTCTCTCTCTCACTTTTTCTCTTTTTTACACTGTCTTTCTATTTTTCTCTTTTTTTAAAAATTGTCTACCTCTATTATTTTCCCTCTCTCTTATTTATAATCTATCTCTTTCTATATTCTATATCTGTCTAAATTTATGTCGTTCTTACTCTGTTGTTTTTTTCATTTTCTTTCTCATTTTATAATTTATCTCTTTTTTTTTTTTACTTTATATCTCTCTAGAATTTTATGTCGGTTTTACTCTTTCTATATTATTTACAATCTTTCTTTCATTTTTTATTCTCTATCTATTTTTCTTTTTTTACACACTCTCACTCTCTCTTTCTTTGTCTCTTTTTTACTCTCTGTCTCTATTTTTTCTCTTTTTTATTCTCTGTTTCTATTTTCCTCTTTTTTATTCTCTGTCTCTATTTTTTCTCTTTTTTAAAAAATTGTGTACCTCTATTATTTTCCCTCTCTCTTATTTATAATCTATCTCTTTCTATATTCTATACGTCGTTTTTACTCCGTTTTTTTTTTTATTTTTATTCTCTTTTTTATAATTTATCTCTTTCTTTTTTTACTTTATATCTTTCTAGAATTTTCTGTCGGTTTTACTCTGTATCTTTTACTTTTTCTATTTTATTTACAATCTATCTCGTTTTATCTATATTTTTCACTTTTTTTCTTTCTCTGTCTTACTATTTTTCTTTTTTTATTTACTATCTCTTTCACTTTTCCTCTCACTTATTTATAATCTATATCTGGTACTTTCTTCCTCTTTTTTATTTTCTATCTCTATTTCTTCTATTTTTACTCTTTATGTCTATTTTCTATTTTACTCTCTATTTCTATTTATCACTTTTTATTGTCTATCTCACTTACTTTCCTTCTCTCTTTTCATAATTTATACCTGATACTCCCGATCTCTTTTTAATCTCTCACTATTTTTTACTCTCTGTCTATTTTTTTCTTTTTTGTTGTCTATCTCTATTATTTTCCCCCTCTCTCTTACTTATAATCGATTCTTGGTACTTCCACGTTTTTACTCTCTATCTCTATTTTTCCATTTTTTACACACTCTCTCTATTTTTCTCTTTTTTACACTCTCTATATTTTCTCTTTTTTACACACTCTTTCTATTTTTCTCTTTTTTATTGCCTATCTCTATTATTTTCCATTCCCTCTTATTTATAATCTATATCTACTACTTTCTTTCACTTTTTACTCTCTATCTCTATTTTTCTCTTTTTTACACACTCTCTCTATTTTTCTCTTTTTTACACTCTCTATATTTTCTCTTTTTTACACACCCTTTCTATTTTTCTATTTTTTATTGCCTATCTCTATTATTTTCCTCTCCCTCTTATTTATAATCTATATCTATTATTTTCTTTCACTTTTTACTCTCTATCTCTATTTTTCTCTTTTTTACACACTCTCTCTCTCTATCTCTCTCTCGCTCTACTTTTTCTTTTTTTTATCTTTTTCTCATTTTTATTGTCTATCTCTATTATTTTCCCCCTCTCTCTTATTTATGTTCTTTACCTGGTACTTTCTTTCTCTTTTTCACTCTCTATCTTTATTTTCCCCCTTTTTTACTCTCTGTCGCTATTTTTCTCTTTTTTTACTCTGTCTATATATTTCTCTTTTTTATTGCCTCTCACTTTTATTCTCTTCCTTTTACTTACAGTCTATTTCTCTCATTGTCTTTCTATTTACTCTATATCCCTCTTTTTTCCATTTCTATCAAATACTTTTTTGAATTATCTATTATTTTTTCCTTTTATTATATTCCATTCTTTTTTTCATCCTTTGTCTCTTTCTTCTCTGCATAATCGCATACAAAATGCATTTCTATGTATCTTAAACATAAAGCAATAGCTATAAATATTATACAAGAATATATAACATTCATATACACACATATATAAATACACACATTTTTATATAGTATATATTCCTAATATTTATATATAATATTAACCAGTGTGTATCTGTAAAAAATCACTAACTTCTGCATTTCTCTTATTTTTTTATGTATAATAGCTGTTCACTCGTATTCGAGGATACCCGTCTACTACGGCGTCTAGCTAATCCCTATTGCGAACGTTCGCTCAGGTACATCTGTGTTTGCTCAACATCTACAGGGCCTACCTGTGGTTTATACTGCAACTATGCTGAGCAGACCTTAGTTACAGTTTCTGGGAGAGAGCGTCATCAACAATTTGAACAAGGCCACACGGTCAAGCCCTCGGCTACGATGAGTTGTGGCTTACCGCATCTATCGGCGGCCTTCAAGAGTTCTTTTTACCCAATTTCACTTACAAGGCTTGGGTCAACCAATGGTATGGTGTTCAGTCACTTTCCAAAGGTGCCGCACGCTGGGATCGATCTCGATCCACTCCGATAACATCAAGAACTCTCCTTTCTGACAAATCGACCATGGTGAGATTCGAACCTAGGATTCAGAAAGCGAACGTTCTAGCCACTCGGCCGCTTTTTATGTATATAAATCTAAATACATGCACACTTTCACGCGCATAGATATATCTGTTTGCATACTTTTGCATGTACATACGCATACAATGCAATATAAATAATAACACAAAAGCTCACGACAATGCTACCCATAGTGAAATGTTCTGGAACTACAGATATTTGATAGTGTAGTTACAGTGGCCTTGTGTCAGACTGAGCAAGATTAATAAACTTTGTGATGGTGAGTGGACACATTAAAGAAATAATAATAATAATAATAATAGTAGTAGTAGTAGTAGTAGTAATAATAATAATAATAATAATAATAATAATAATCATGGCCTCATGACCATAGTTTGAACCCGGCTCTACAGGATATAAAGCAGGAAACATAACATACACAAATAATAATAATAATAATAATAATAATAATAATAATAATAATAATAATAATAAAATGGACAAATGTGAATGAAAATATACAAGCCTATATAAGTTAACTGAGAATTTAAATTCTACCTAATATATATGTGTGTGTGTATGTATGTATATATATATATATATATATATATATATATATATATATATATATATATATATATATATATATATATATATATATATATATATATATATATATATATATATATATATATATATATACACATTGTGTGTATGTATGTCTGTATATATATATATGTGTGTTTATGTGTATAAATGTATATATATATATATATATATACACACACATACATACACAGATATATCTGTGTGAGTGTGTGTGTATGTGCGAATGCGTGCGCACTTGGGGAGTTTATTTTTAACCCCAAGTAAGGCAATAGAGCCACTAATACACAAGGTTTTACTGTGTGTGAAAGAATATGAGAAAAAAATATTATTAATGAGAGAGGACAATAAAAGAACAGATATTAAGAAAGTAGAAGATAACTATTTAAGAGAGAATATATCTATCTGTGTGTGTATGTGTGTGTGTGTGTTTGTGTAAAAGTGTGTGTGCGTGAATATATTTGAGTCGACGCGAGATCTTTTTATTAAACTATTTATTTATTCCCTTCCACTGGCCTGAACATTCGAGAAATGTTATTAAAGAAAAAAGATGCTCTCTCCGGCAGGATTTGAACTAGCGTCTAAAATTTCTCCTGCAAAGGGGGACGCAAGTACGAATCTTGTTGGTGTGTGCATCTTTTCCTTTAATACGGTTTCTCCAATAGTCAGGCCAGCAGAAGAAAATAAATGAATAAAAACTATTTAATAAATAAACGGTGTTTCTACTTATATATGGATATCCTCTAAAAATAACGTTTAAACAGATAAAATACATGTACAGTTATATAGATAGATAAATAGACACAGAGAGAGACAGACAGACAGATAGACAGAGAGAAGATATATGAACTGAGATAGATAGATAGATAGATAGATAGATAGATAGATAGATAGATAGATAGATAATAAACAGACTGAGATAGATAGATAGATAGATAGATAGATAGATAGATAGATAGATAGATAGATAGATAGATAATAAACAGACTGAGATAGATAGATAGATAGATAGATAGATAGATAGATAGATAGATAGATATATATATAAAATGAACAGACTGAGATAGATAGATAGATAGATAGATAGATAGATAGATAGATAATAAACAGACTGAGATAGATAGATAGATAGATAGATAGATAGATAGATAGATAGATAGATAGATAGATAGATAGATAGATAGATAGATATAAAATGAACAGACTGAGATAGATAGATAGATAGATAGATAGATAGATAGATAGATAGATAGATAGATAGATAGATAGATAATAAACAGACTGAGATAGATAGATAGATAGATAGATAGATAGATAGATAGATAGATAGATAGATATAAAATGAACAGACTGAGATAGATAGATAGATAGATAGATAGATAGATAGATAGATAGATAGATAGATAGATAATAAACAGACTGAGATAGATAGATAGATAGATAGATAGATAGATAGATAGATAGATAGATAGATAGATAGATAGATATGAGAGGAAGAAGAAGAAGAAGAAAAAGAAGAAGAAGAAGAAGAAGAAGAGAAAATTTTTGTGACAAAATATGTAAGCTATGTAGGGAGAGTAACTGAGAGGGAAGGATGACTCACCAGTAATGGAGAAAGAAAAACTCTAAAAAGCGAGAAAAAAAATACTGTAACAGATAGAACAGTTGTAAGTTGCAATGTCTCGAGAGAAACAGATACAAAACAGTAAAATAAGAAAGAAAGAAAGAAAGAAAGAAAGAAAGACAAAGAAAAAGAAAGAAAGAAAGAAAGAAAATAACGCTATAGAAGAAAGCGTTAATGATGGAGTCAGGAAAGCATTAAGTGACACACTGCGAGGACGTAGAAAAAGAAACTAGAAAGAAAAAAATTAATCGATGAATGGTACCGTGGATATATAGAATAGAAGAGACTGAAGGTCGAGCGCCATGGCTACTGCCTTTGGTGCTTCTTGGCTCTAGTGAACGTGGGAACCAGTTTTAGAGTGGGGTTGGACTATTTTGCCTGGAGGCAGGGCACTTATGCACTGACCAATGATTTCACTCGGATCGACTAAAGGATGTGAAGTCAGGTTACAGTTGGTCTCTGGCTAGGATGTAAGGCAGAAAACAAATTGATAGGAGCTTTAAAACGAAAAGGAGGCTTTAGGATTGTTCGTGTGTGCGTGTTTGTTTGTGTTTGTGTGTGTGTGTGAGAATACATGCACTAGCATGATCATATATGTTTTATATACCTGTTTAGGTCTGTGCAAAAGTTCCTAGCATTTTTTTTAATAAAAAAGAAAATTACTTCTAAGTACAGACTGGAAACCCGGGTTTTGTTCTGGAAGTTTTTGCACGCAACTAATACTTTCATACACACGAAATAATTTATGCCACAAAAATAACATCGTGAAGCTAATCAATTATATGCATGTATACTCAAAACTATGAACGTGTACATATATAAATGTTGATATACTATATCAAATAAGAAGCTGTGGACAGACATGATAAAACACATCCTGAAAGGGCATGGGATATATATATATATATATATATATATATATATATATATATATATATATATATATATATATATATATATATATATATATACACACACAAGTATATGATTGGTGTATACGGAATAAATTCCAATAACAAACAATTACTATTCTTAAAAGAGTGTTCAATACAGAGTAGAGCGAATATATCTGATAGAGTTTTTTATTTATTAATCTGGCATATGTTTATTACTTTAAACGTTATTGTTAGTGGATTCTCATATTTGAGTAATGCGCTATTTATTTTAAGCAGTTTAAAGTGAGCAGTTATGACTTTCGAAAACATCTGAATGAGTAAAGTGTGCTATTTCTTCT